TTTTTTTTTTTTTTTTTTTCATTCTTGATTTCATTTTTATATTAATTTGATTTTTTGATCCTTCGTGGTAAAAAAAAAAAAAAAAGGTATCCATTGAAGGCCGTGAAAGTGATGCATACTGTGGCTTTGAGAACGGAATATAGTCGACCAATTAATTCTACTACTCCAAATCAATTGATTGTCGGCAAGGTTTGTATTATATACAGTGACGGTTCAAGGTTCGTTTTTTAATTTAGTGTCTTCAATGTTCCGTCTATGATGTTGTTAGACTCATGGCAGGAGGGCAATTGTTTTGTCTAATTGAATTAATAATATTATCGTAACATCCAATTTAAATTTAAAACATAAAAGCTTATTTATTTTTTTAAAATCTGACGTGCGTCATATTTGTGGCAGAGACGTATGGGAGATATGTTTGCTTTTCACGCCACCATTATGGCCAACACCCTAAATACTCCTATCATCGTTTTCACTAGAACTGGCTCCATGGCTATACTCTTAAGTCATTATAGGCCCTGCTCTACTATCTTTGCCTTCACTGATGAGTAAGTTCCAACGGGATGTAATGTATTACAATTTCCTTGTATTTCATGCACAATTTTGGATATTTGCTACCCTTACTAATTTATACAGTTCGTATCTTTAAGATGATTTAGGTGAATGTGTCTTTGTATATGTGGTGTTAAGTATGAATACTTTGCCTTGAGAATGTAGAGTTTTCTGTTAATATATATGTAAACTTTTAATAGTTGTGTGGAATAGTAGCTTTCTGGGTCCAGGATGAAACCCTAAAATGTATTCCATGTATTTGTAGCTCTAGATAGAGATAAAATAATGCAAGATTTAATGACTTACCGCACTATCAAAATCTTCGATTGTTGTTAAAGTTTTGTTTGAAAAAGACTATTTAGCGTGTCATTTATGTGAAGTTGGATCTGTCTTTCTTTGAACGGGATGTAGTTCACACTTGATTTTGCCGATTAGAAGGTAAAGCATTTGTGTATTTTCGCTCTTTATTTTTATTTTTTGACGACTTGAAGAGTATCTCCTAGATTCATTTGACATGCAGCCAAAGAATTAAACAAAGGCTGGTGCTTTATCATGGGGTCATGCCCATCTACATGCAGTTTTCAAATGATGCAGAAGAGACGTTCTCCAGAGCACTCAAGTTTTTACTGGTTAGTTTTTCTTTATCGTGTTACCTTTCTTTCTCTATTTCCTTGTGTTTTTTTTTCAAAGATCCTTCAAGGATTTGGTTTTAAATTTCCTACGTTTGCAGAATAAGGGCCACGTGGTAGGGGGAGACAACGTTACACTTGTCCAAAGTGGAGCTCAACCAATTTGGCGGAAAGAATCTACTCACCACATTCAAGTACGTAGGATCCAAGGGTGACTTTGCGGGTAAAAGGCTCTATTGTTTTGTTCCTTCTCCTTTTTGGAGATTATTGCGATGATGATAAGTTATAGTTTTGTAACATTTTGAATTAATTGATCTATTTATTAGACATTTCTTGTTGATTGATAATATGTGTTTTACTGCTTAGAGCTCTGTCTTTTTATTATTTCTCATATGTATTAAACAAAGGTCACACCAGACCAAGGGCATTGCATTGTTACTAGGAGGACATGCGATGAGATATATAAATTAGATCAAACAAGGTGGAAGCACCAGAAGGTGTGGTTATCTTACCTTGCTTAATTTTTTTTCGTCATACCAATTTAAGAAGGCAAAGGAGAGTGCTTTATTTTCATGCACTAGTTGATAGATAGAAAATGATGGCTCAGTGATTTTCCAGACTAGCTTCCCCTCATAGAAAAGGAAAAACAAAAGAGCAAAAGGAAAAAAGAAGTCAAAGTCCTCTAGTGAATACTTCGCTTTACAAGGTAAAACATGGAAGGTCTTGCACAAGAAATCTTCAGGTCATAACACGCCATCCTTGCTCTTAACATGACTTGAAATTATTTGGTCAGATGTTGTAGAAAGCGGAAAGAATTGGGTGTTAAGAGTTGAGCCAATAATAGGCTTCTGACACTTTAGGCCCCATTCCTTTTATTCTAACACAAACTGAGAAAATATGCATCAAACCGGTCTCGCTCTTGTTTATATTTCTTCAAATCAAACCTTGATGTGCTCCTGGTCTTCACTTTCTTCACACTTGCCCTCCAATTTGATACATTTGTACCATTTAGCACAGAGAATATACACTGCAAAGTCAATTGCTGTCAATCCAGCTAATAGGAAGTAAAATCTATCTAGATGACCTCTGTTCAGGTTTCCTGGAATCCAGCCTGGCATGTGATCCTCTGTTGATATTTTCATTACCACAGTGACCAGAAAGCTACTGACATAATTCCCCAAAGAGATAGATGTCATACAAAGTGCACTACCAAAGCTCTTCAATCTGTCTGGGGTTTGTGCATTGAAGAACTCCAATTGTCCTACGTACATGAAGACCTCCGAAGCTCCTATAAATGCATATTGTGGAACCTGCCAAAAGATGCTTAAGGAGCTCGAGCCTTCACAGTGTGTGCACTCGCCTTTGGCGTACTTTAGCCTATAACACTCCACTATTCCTGCTGAAACCATTGCCATCACTGCTATGATGAGACCAGTCCCCATTCTCTGAAGCTCAGTCAACCCTTTAGAATCTGATTTTCTAAGTTTTCCTGCTAGTGGGTCTAGGACTCGGCGGTAAAGGAAAATGAAAACTGCCACACTGAGAATGTCGAAACTCGACATACTTGCAGGTGGGATATGGAAGTTTGAAACAGTAGTTTTCATGGCAGCGCCTTGCTCGACAAAGAGGGAAGCCATTTGAGTGAAGACCACAGAGTATATTATGGTGCAGAGCCAAATAGGAAGTAATCTTAAAATGCACTTGACCTCTTCCACTTGTGTGATGGGACAGAGGCGCCATGGATTGTCAATACCTTGTCCTTGGTTATCCAAATCTCTTGATGAGATATATGCAGCCCTATCCAAAAACCTACAATATATAGAAGAACAAGCATGAGCAACTTGCAAACTATAATGGCAGCTGATATAGAACCATGATTTTTGTTGTTGCGTTTTGAAATGAAAAAGGGTTTCTGCTTGAAAGAAGTTAACGAGATAGGATTTCTCCAGGTTATCCTTTTACAATTGAGAAAAATATTCAGAATGATTCTGAAAGTGGAAAATGCGGCATGATGCTGCAATGATCTCTGCTAGCAAATCCAAAATGTGAAAAATGTTGTCGTATTTGTTCAAAGAAATAAAGCTGAAATGTAAATGTCCTTACTTGAACCCATGGGTGTGAAATATCTTTCTACTATGGTTCATTGAACAGTCCTTGCCATCAACGTTGTATAGTTCATCTTCACTTGATGGCATCCTGACTGTTGATTTCTTAGCAGCAGCAACAATGACTTGGCAGAATCTTGGGATAGGGTTACCACTTGGCTTGAAGTGCCTGTACCTTGGCGTTCCACAAAGAAACAAAACCAATGCTGCAAAAGCTGAGCCAGTTGACACCCAGAAGCCCAGAGCCCACAGTCCTCCATCTTCGAAGTACCCTAAAATGGTGTTTGAGAAGAGAGAACCCAAGTTAAGCGCCAAGTAGAAGTAGCTAAAGAATGCCACTTTTGAGTGCCCCTCTGTGGAGTCCTCTTCATCAAATTGGTCTGCTCCAAGTGTGGCAATATTTGGTTGATATCCCCCGTTTCCTAGTGCAATAAGGTAAATGGAGAGGTAAAACAATGCAGTCCCCAATCTTGAATGTGACTCGCATGGGGTGTTCTCATCCCCACAACCTTTTGGTTTGATCAGGAAGAGCTGTGACGTTATGGAAAGTGAAACCAGGCCCTACAATAAAGAAAGGTGAGGAAGCAGTTCCAAAAAAAAAAAAGTTCCCTGTTGTTAGTACCAAAATAATTGAGGTTTGGTCCTGTACTTACAATGACAAAGATGATCTGAAAAATGGCACTAGTTTTGTACCTTCCCCAGTACGAATCACTGAGGAAAGCCCCAACAAGAGAGAAGATGTAGACCGTCCCGGTCCATTTGCTTACACTGTTGGCTGCATCGGCATTGTTTTGCTGCAAAACTCTTGTCAGGAACAACACCAAGTTCACACCAACCCCAAAGAACGCAAGAGTTGCAAGACCTTGATTCACTGTATTATAGGGAGGAGCAAGTCAGGATAGAAGTAAATGTAATGCCAGGTCGTGTGCTTTATTTTGTGGTGAATTCAGGACAAATTTGTCCAAATGAGTCTGATTTCCCTAGTGGTTGGCTTTTGTCACCGTTTTGTTGTCTATTTGAAGAGCTGAAAGTGCCTTGAGAAGTGAAAAGGCAAGTTAGGCAGACCAGGTTTCAATTCCTACTCAAAATAGATTCCATAGCCATAGATGAGGACTAAGATCCAAATTTCTCAAGGGTGAGTTGTGTTTTTATGTGAACCAACTTCAGAAAATCTCTAATGAACTTTCTCTCTCTGAAAACAAAGAAAGTTACCCTCTGGTGAGCGGTGAGTGCATGACTGGAAGCTTGTTACTCTCTCTCTCCCCCTCTACAGTAAAACCCATAAAAATGGGTTTCCCTTTAGGTATTTCCCACTGAAAGCTCCCTTTCTCATTATCAACCAGCTTGTGAGATATTTTACTTCGATGATATAGGAGGAATGTAAAGCCACATACTTTATAGTTTTCTTCCCTTTCAATGCTTCTAGAAGGAACATTTCTGAGGTCAGAATTTCATGTGAGCTTTTAATTCAAATAATTGAGTTATGGATCCCATTCTATCACCGTACCTGAGTTTTCTGCTATCTCTCTATTTGGCTTCTCACATAAAAACTCTCCTATAACTTTTTTACTATTTATCTTTTTATCATGATATAGTTTCAAGGCCATATCTTTAGATTTATATGAAGTGACGGAAGACGGAGAAAATCAAAAGAAAGGAGAACTGTAAAAAAAATTAAATGTTGACCATGAACTGATACTAATTAACTGTCATCTGTAATTCTTCTAGGTTATTGAAACAACACGTGGCAACTCCACGTCATGGATTACGAGTCAGACACGTCTCTTCTCTCTCTCTTGAGTGAATGAGGTAACATAGCACAGTCCTTATTATGGGTATTGTCTTTCTCTCTCTCCCTTTTGTCGTCCAGCTCCCATGGAGTCAATGAGGTAAATGAGGCATAGACCTTAAGAAACCTCTCATCGTCTAGGGGGTTTTGCTTCTCTCTCTAGCTAATACCAATTTGGTCACCCTCTCTGTCTCTCTACTAAAGATTTATAGCTTAGCCTGAAAATACGTGGTGGAGAGATCAGCATGCAAGGAGGCTAAAAACACTTGGCTCGTTGTGCAGTGCCAAATGTACAGCAATAAAGCCATTCCTATTTCTCTCTCATTGTGCCATCCCCTTCTGTATATGAGAATTCCGGTGAGAAGCTCTTTCACTTCTCTAGTATGTATTGCCACTTATCTTTTTCATGTTCAAACAAAACTTAACAAACATTTCTCCCTCCCTCTCTCTCTCTCTCGAATATCCACCCCACCCCCCACCAAAAAGTTCTCGATTTTTCTGAAACCACTTCCCACATAACCTTGCAGACGTATATCCTATAAGCGGTGCACCTTCTTCTCTCTCTAATGAGATAATGAAGAAAGAAGTTGATGGTTAAAGTGTTTTATTGTGGACTTCTCTTTCTTTTCGTTTAAACTCCTGACTTTGTGGTTCAGAAAGAAGTTATGTTCAGTTGCCATTTCCATGTAGAAAATTTACTTAACTGAAGCTTCTACTTTGAGAAGAATGAAATAACAGAGATGTAAATTTAGAAAGTGGATCATTTGGTTTGTGTAAATAGACAAAGAAGTTGAAAAGGAAATGGTTTTGGGTCTTACAGAGTATGATGATTCCAGCAACCCATCCTCCCGTTTTTGACCGGATTGCAGGTTGGCCATGCCAATCAAGAGTCCCATCAAGAGTGCAAATTTCCCTCTCTTCTTTAGTCTCATCACCCTGCAAATTCTGTACCCAAAAAACAAAATACACTCTAAAATGTGCCTTCTTCCTGTTCGTCATATTCAAAAGATAAGAGAGAAAAAGAAGATGATTTTATTAGGTTGCAGACCTGGTTGCAAATCTCCAAGCAAGCCATTGATGAATGAAGTTGAAGTACAGGAAAAGAGCAGAACAGGGCAGAGCAGGGCGGGGCGGGAGGAAGTTGGTGAAGTAATGCTGATGATAGTTGCAGAATAAAGACACCAGTGTCTTGAGACTCTAAACAAAATGGGAAGTCTGTATAAATAGAGAAGGGAAGGATGAGTTGAACGGTAGAGATTTAGAGAGGAGAAATGTGGGGTCACCCCAAATGTCCTAAATCTTTCTTTTTCCTCCCTTTTCTTTTTACCATGGATCACACTCTTGGGATGCTGATGAACTCCAATTAATTCTATTTCTTTGGCTTCCTAAGGATTTCTTAAGGATTTATAAGGGTAAAAGTTAGGCTCCTTTGTTTTACATGTTTCATTCTAATAATTTGCAGTAAATGAGTTAGTGGTTCTCTTTATTTTGTCCTGAACTCGTTTATATATTTGGTTGAAAGAGATATGACATAGGTTCTTTTGATTGGTGTTGTTTAAACTAATGTGGCTCTTGTAATATCCACTTTGCCTGCCTTGGTGCCCTTATATTTTTGACATTGACAGCATAGATATGAAGTAATTATTATTTGAATTGGCTGCCACTTGTCTCATGATCATTAGTTAAAAACACTTTTGATTTATTTTTTATGATTACTATGTTAGGTTAGCTCCAAGAAATAAATAATTGCTTGAGATAGATGATCAAGTCTCTCAAAAGCTAGAAGCTCGTAATTGATAGGAGAACTGTTAATACATTGTGTTGAGACATTATTTAGGATCAAACTCGTCGAGATTGCTTTTGGAATAACCTAAGCCCACCACTAATAGATATTGTCCTCCTTGGATTTTTCTCTTTAGGACTTTCCTTTGAGGTTCTAAAACATGTTCAGTGGGAAGATGTTTCCACACCCTTATAAGGAATGTTTCGTTCTCCTCTCCAGCCAATTTGGGATCTCACAACTCTCTCCTATTCTAAACAAGATTTAGAGGATGCTCGCTTCTCCAACCAACGTGGGATCTCACAACTCCCACCTAATCTAAACAAGTTTTAGAGGATGCGAGATCTTATCTTAGATCTCTCTTTCCAAGGGAACTTTATTCGATATAGCTCTTGAAAAGGCATCTTTAATAAATATGATTGGATTGGATTGGATGACCTCAAATATTCTCATTACATTAACTCTTCCTATCATATCTCTCTTCAAGGATAATCGGCTCTTCAATTCTAAGTATTTGGAATATATACTGCTTATCCCTATGTTATCTCTCTTAGTAGTCTGCAGGTTGTCGGCTCCATTTTACACATCTAAATTTATCCTTTATATTTCCCAAATAAATGATGGGAAGCTTTTACAGTCTTATTAGAGTTCATAAACTCAATATAATTTGTTGTTCTATTTTGCCCTGTACTTCGTGAACAATAGGAATATGTTCTTTTGGTTTGTTTCGTTTTGTTCTCAATTCATGGAAGTTATATGCCAATTCAGGAGTTGCCTTTACGTTAAGCTCATGTTTTGGCAATAATTTGTGCCAAGTTTTATCTCAAAAAGAAAGAACACTTCCAAGTTTGTTGTATTTATTTTGGTTGGTTGATAATATCAAACTTTTGCATCTCTCGAAAAAAAAGAAAGGTCGATCTCTACATGCTAAAGATTTGAATCTCTTTATTGCCATTAATTATTATTATTATTTTTAATCTACCTTCAATTGTGTTTGTGAGGTCAAGGATCTGACATCTATTATATGAATATATGGTGATTACCCTCCAAATCGTGTGCGAGATTGTTGTTACTTACCACTTGTCTCACGACTTTCTAACTTCACATTTTTGGAAATGATGGAAACCAAAGAATAGATTAAAGTGACAATGATATGTACCTATTTACACTTATGAAGTTGTTAGGTAAACCAATTGTTTCCTAATGGTTTAGGCAAAATGGAGGAACAGATTTATGGTATGTGTTCGGCAAGTGAGAAACTTGAAAAGGGAAAGATACAAATTTGAGCTAAATGGAAATACACAAATGGCATTAAACGAGAAACTATAAACGGTCTAATTTAGGAAACATTATTCGATTGAAGGCCTCCACGGATTTGGGAGGGAGAAATTGTAAATAATACTTTATTTTTTTATCCAATAATTATTAGGATATGTGTATATATATATATAATAGTTATTAAGAGACAGTCACATGGTAGCAATCTCATTAAATTATTGTCATAAGTTACGTTCTCATCTCCCAAATCCCAAATTTTAGGTTAAATCTACTTCCTTTTAAACTAATATTAGGCTTACTTTCATGGAAAAGTGCATGTTTTCGAGGATATATCATTTGTTATTATGTCTTTATAGCTAATTAATCTTCTTTTTCTTGTTATGCATGTATTAGATACCATCTTTCATTTTTGTATGTCATGTTTGAGATTTTTCAAACAAAAAACTCAAGATTTTTTTTTTGTTAGCTAAATGATTTGATTAATAGATCACCAATTTATGGAAAATAATACATTTCAATTAATGGATGATCCTTATAATCAAGCACAAACTTATTAACAAATGTCTCTATTTTTATAATAAAAATAAAAATAAAAAAAGCCACTTATTGTAATCTGATAATAAAGTAAACTTTCAACTCATCGTCCAAATTATTTTCATCCTTCTTTTTTTCTTCTAATTTTAATAAAAATACACAAGAGAGATCTCGCATACTCATAATCAAACCTAAAAGTTGAAAAAAAAAACATTATATATATAAAAAGAAGACCACAAAATTAGGCCATCCCCAACCAATATATATATATATATATGCAAAAGGATGGGTATGGTTCATACACATTTTTATATATCATTGCCTTATCAACTCAACAAAGCTTAAAGAACAAATTAAGTAATTGGATTAATACAAACCCATTCATCCAAACCCTAAAAGCACGGATGGATTTGGTTTAAATATGCAAAATAAATACATCTATCTATAGATGATACACCCATTAAAATATTATTTTTCTATATTTATTTTTAATAAATCTTTCAACTATTAGTCACGGTTAATTTAAGGTTAATTCGACTCAAACTAAAATAGTTTGAATTAGTTGTTCCTCCGTAATTTTGAAAATGTATTTATAATATTTTTTTCTTAAATGATAACTATTGCCATTATTTTATCGCATTTAACGAAATATTAATTTTAAGTTTACAATAACGACTACTTACAGGAATATTAACGTTCCATAAAAAGTAAAATAGGAGTCTCAAAATATGTTGAAGTATACAAAAATTTAGTCACATTGGTAAGGGTGGCCGAGTTACAAATTTGTGTAATCACCTATTATTTAATAAATTATAATGTGAACTATTGGTCATATTCCATGAATTTATATTTATATTGTATGTTATATCATATTATATATTTATAGGATATACTTTTTGCGAAAATCAATATGTTCATACAGATGGGGACACGATTTGATGATGAATGGAAGCAACCAAGCTTTTGACATATATCATCATTACATGTTTCCCAATAATATGTTATGGACACACATTGTAATTTCTTTTTCCCTTAAAAAAATAATTGTTTCCAATATTTCCAATATTATATTAATAATTATTATGAAACTTGTAGCTCTAATGGTAGACATTGACCTACTACGCAGCAAGGTACTCATACAAATACTTATTAACATGTTACGAAAGGAAATTAAAATTATTTCTTGGTAATGAGTGTGAAATTCTACATTAGTCAGAGAGAGGAACAAAACATTTCGTATAAGAGTGTGAAAACCTCTTCCTAATACATGTGTTTTAAAATTGTGAGTCTGACGGCGATACATAATGAACTATAGTAGACAATATCAACTAAGGGTGACCTTGACTGTTTCAATAAATGTGTATAAATATATAAATAATGTACGAGGTAAAAAGAGTGTGAATTCACTGTAGAAAAATTTAATAGAGGATATGATTGGCAAATAGTCACTACAAAATATGGGGAAAGAAAAAGCCCAAAACCAAACAATAAACTATATATTATACACCATTATTTCAAATATATATATATTATCTTAGCTAATAATTGGATGAAGGTGGGGGAATCCATTGGCTGGATCTAATACATATCCATACGTATCGATCGATATTTATTATATTCGAAACATTTACATTTGAAATATTGTATAAATATCTTTAAAAAAATCAACCTAGCAACTTATAATTTCATATTTTTAATATACTAATGTTTTTTTTATTCTTTAATTTTATATTACGAGAACAAATAAATTTTGTGTTAGGTCGACCAGATAATATTTAAATAAATAATTGGACATTTTTTGAGCTTGAAAATAATTTTAATAAAATTGACTATTTAGATTTTGAAATTTTTTATATTTATGTTTAAAAAGGGTTGTTTTTGTATTTTTTATTTTTGAGGTAAACTTTACTTTACTAGAATTAATGAGCCTAAGAGAATTTTAACGTTTTTGTTTTTTTTGGTGTTAAAATTAGAGAGCAAATTTACAGACTTTGAATCCGGCAAATATTACAAAAACATATTTGATATAACAGCTTGAACTTTTTTAACGTTAAATAAGCTAAAAATTAGAGGTCATTATGAGGCCATAACTCTTAGAGATGAGGATATGGAAGGAAAAAGTGGGAATTTCACTGGAAGAAATAAAAAGGCAGTGTTTAGATGAGATGATGAGGCACTCACTGCCCACCATCCGTCGAAGATAAACCAACAATGTCGTAAAACTCAAGTTTTCAAAACTTCCTTTCATTTCTTTGCTCATTGCTGGTTGCTCATAGCTGATAGCATACCAAAGCAGAGGAAGAACAAGAACAAGAACAACAGACCCAAAATAAACAACAAAACTATGGCTCTCAGAATGTGGGCTTCTTCCACTGCTAATGCTCTCAGACTCTCTTCTTCATCCAAAACCCATCTCTCTCCTCCATTTTCTATCTCCAGATGCTTTTCTACTGGTATTTTTTTTTACTATTTCTTTCCTTGCCTGCAAGCTGTTTGTGTAAATGCCTCTGTGAACTTTGACTTTGTTTTTCTCTTTTTTAATATACTGTTGGATCCCACTTCCATTGTTTGATGTTGTTTGATTCTCAATTATGTTTAATTTCTTATCTGGGTAAGACAAAAGATGTTGGTTGGATTTGCAGTTTTGGATGGACTGAAGTATGCTTCTTCACATGAGTGGGTGAAACATGAGGGCCCTGTTGCTACCATTGGCATCACTGACCATGCTCAGGTGCTTTTCATTTCTAAACGCCAACATTCTAACTTTTGTTTCCCTGAATTATAGATTAAACTCTAAGCTTGGTTCACGAAATCTTATTCTTATTCATACATTTTCATCATTGAATTCCTAATAAGTTACTGAAATTTCAAATTTGTGTGTAATGAGTTCATATCATTAACGTGGTTGAGTTATTGTCTAGATAGATTATAAAGGTTGAATTGAAAATCAACTACAGAGAACATGTCATGTTAGTGTTAAATGAAGTTAATGCAGGACCTTATTGAACACAAAATTGAAAGTGTTGAAACCTATTAAAAACTTTTATAATACAACTGCGAAGGAGAAACAACACTGGTAAAAGTTTAGATACCAAACATATAATTTA